CTATATTTCGTATACACAAGGACTCTTCTTGAGCCAAGAGCACCATCGGCTTTATGTTCTCAGAAAGAAACCCAGAGCACCCGCTTCGAAGCTGATTGTATTGTAAAATATATTTTGCAAGAATTGCTAGCACCTCCTCATATTTGCCCCTCAACTTTACTCTACAAAATTAAGAGTATCTGTTGCAACAAATGCAAAATTAAGTGCATTTGTTGGTGTCTAGTCAGGCATCGTGATCCTCATTTAAAATCCCTTCATAGATCAAGTCCCCGTCCCCTGGCCTGCATGACCATTTATCCTGACAGCAAAGTGGGCGAACAGTGAATGATTGCGTCTGGTCTTGCTGCTCAGAACATCCGAATCATCTCCTCGTGGGCTGCCGTTGTGAGCCCTGATCCTTTGATCTCTGCACAGGCTGCAAGCTAGTTTTGTCAAATTGACACCAGCAAGGATTGCCTCGGGGAAGCTGGTCTCTCTATTTCCATTCCCCTTAAACTTCATATGTGATTTTCTTGTTCTTTTCTGGCATTTTTTCTAATCTGTGAAATCAGAATGAATTACCATCTAGTCACCACGAAGAAGACCAAGCCATTGCCTGTGGAGGAGCAGCCTGTTAAAGGGGCCTGTGTTGGAACTCTCGGTGCTGTGTATGTGTGTGAGTGAGTGTATGTGTGTGTGTGTCTGTGTCCCCGCATCATCCTCCCATAACTTCACACGCTCACTTTCCCCACCTGGAGACTATTCAACTCACTTTGATTGTAAGAATAATATTCCACTCAAAATCGAAGTCCATTAAGACACAGAATCATTGAAATTTTTGACGGAAAGAATGAAATTTTCTTGGAGACATGTTGAATCTGTTTCCCTGAAGAAGAAGAAAAAATAACCATTTTCCTATTATCCCTTCCCTTCCATACACTGTTTCTACAGAGATGCCTGGCAGGCACTGTAATCATAGAGGCTTCTGTATTCTCCCAGGGCCATGTATTTTGCTGTTTCGGAGCCCAGCTTCCTAGGTGTTCTACGGGAACTCTTGCATTCCTTCCCTTTCCGTCTCTACTGTGTCCTCTCTGGCGGATCTCAGGAGTTTCCGTGGAGAGTTCTGCGCATGAATGGGACTGTTTCACGGGTCCCATTACTTAAGAGTCACAGAGTTTGTGTCACTCCAAGCTGCAGACACAACTCTTGCTATCTGTGCGCTTTCCCTCAGCCACTCAGTCCTTGCTCTCATCTTTCGTACCCAGCCATTATCCTTGGCTGACCTCTATCAGAACAGAGTCTAGGCAGTAGGAAACCGCATCCTTCCCACCGCCATCTTCTCTTCCCGTGGCTGTCAGTGCAATTCTTGCTTAGTACATGCGCCCTCGTGTTTCTTTGATTACACTGAACTGTCCACCACTTTGGTGTTAGTGGCCCTTGGTGTCACCACCTCATTCCTTTCACTCTGCATGATCATCTTTGTCTGAATGTATTTCTAACTGCCAAGTGCTAGGATAATGTTTTGGGTTTTTGGTGGCAGCAGCAGTGCTTTGGTTTTTATTTTCGTGATCTCTAATCCAGTTCACTTTCCCAAGATTCATGTCGCTTTACTTGTCCTTCGGATACCACAAGAAGCCCCTGTCCAGGCCTGAAGTCCCCGCCACCTCCTCTTCATTCCCTCTGATGGCAGATCATAGCGTCATCCATTAGATCTATTAGATCCATCATCCAGAAGATCACAGCACCTAAGGGCCCTGAACAGGAGAAGGATTTGGTTAATCTTTATCCTTGGAGCTTTATCTGTACCAGAAAGAATATTGACCTTGAAAATACTCCATTATTTCCTGTTAAATAAATGACTGTGCAGTTTTAACTCCGTAAAGAAAATCCTTGAACTCTAAAACTGCTGTTGCTCTTTGGTTTAAAGTGCGGACTCCCTTCTAGGTCAGCTCACTCACTGCTACACCCCCTAAATTACAGAAGGTTTGTCTTAGAAGATGGCTTCCCACTAGCCGAGAGAAGAAGAGACAGTGCATTCATTTTGATACTAAATGGCTGATGGAGTACAAGGACTCATCTGAATTCAGACTTCTGAAGATAGAGCCTGTTATGTTTTAATTTTACCCGGTAACTTCCTGGAGTAGCTAATAGGGTTCAAATACTTTTGACAGAGGCAAATTTGGATAATGACTGAGGAAAACTAAGTACGGGGATCATATGTGCAGGTATTTGGGGAGTATGAATTGAGCATGTAGAAAACCCAGGATGTTCCCCTGTGCCTTCGCACCTGTTCCTGCCCTTGCCAGTGGCTCCTCTTTCTGAACAAGACCCTGAAGACCTCAGCAGTCCTTGGAGAAGGCTAACAACTCTGCTACTAATGCCTGAAGAAAAAGCACATACACAGTCAAACTAGAGGGGAAGAATGTGTGCCCAGCCCAGGAAGGATCGTCCAAGTGGGGAAACTTTAGCCTATGGGCCCAGTAAACAAATGTATGTTATTTATAATCAAAGATGCTTAAGCAGTAGCAATCTCAAACTCTCTATGGTGCGTCCTAAAGAGTCCCTTTTGATGCTCAGTGTAATAGATCAGATACCTGAATGTGACCATCAGCTATCTCAAGCTAAATGTCATTGCAAAAGACAAGAGATCCTTACATAAGGGCCATTCTGTGCAGTTCAGAGAACGGCCTACCATATTCATTCTGTCTTGAGTTTTGAATGAATGAGTTTATTAAGTATATAGCAAGCAAAAATAAAAGAACAGTAAGTGTCAGAGAAAGAACAAACCATCATTAGATGGAGCGCTCACAAGGTCCAGCATCAACAAGCAGAACAGCTGGACTCAGGGCAAATTGGGGTCTTACAGACATGCAACAGAAGCTGACCGGGGAAGTTGAGGCAGTCAGCTAGAGTTTCTGAACAAACTTTCTCTCAATAGCTGAATGTCCAACTTCATTCCTCTGCAGGCATTTTTGGGTCACGGGAGAAACAATATTAACCTCTTTTGGTAATAGGTTACCTTCTAGTTGTTCTCAAACACACTGCTTTTACTCTTAAGGGGCTTTGCTGTTCTCCCCCCCCCCCAGTTTCAGGTTTTCGGGGGTGGGGGGTGGGGTGGACAAATTGTCCCCAGATGATGAGTTCTGGGGAACACTTTGAGATAAATACGCTTGAATCTGAAGTGGATGTCAGATTCCAATCTCACTAGCAGAGCCAGCTTCTCAGCGAGCTCAAATGGCACTAGAGATTCTGTCAATGTAATGAACGTTACAGAAACCAAGGTTACGGTGGGATAAATGAGCAATAGAAAGTTGGCAGAAGCCCATACATTCCACTCAGCCACCCTGACAATTGCTTCGTGTACCAGAAGATGTATGTTGTGGGCTTTTACATGTGGAAAACATAGACAAGGATCTGCTCGACACAGGCAATGGCAGCTGATGTATAGATAAGCAATGAAGACAGAAGCAATGATTATAGAGTGGACTCTTTCTTTGACACCAGGCTGCTCTTGGAATATCATTCTGTATGCCATAATCTCTGTGATACTGTGAGTTTTTTTTGTGTGCAGGTCACATTTGCCTTTTTAGTTTTTTGTTTGTTTGTTTGTTTTTAGTTGTTGAAAGCCTTTGATGAATTTCCTGATAACCTTATCAAAATTAAAGTAATAAGTATGATCCACACTGGGTGACTGGAATGTTGTCAAAAGGATGAAGAAGTAGCAGATACTGTGAAAAAATATGGCCCAGAATTACCTAATGCAATTAGTAATATTATCTCAAATAGTATGCATTTTTTACTGAAAACTATTTTTTATCCAATATATTTTATTCAATATAGTCTGGTCACTGTTCCCTCTGTCATCTCCTCCCAGATCCACCCAAGTTCCCCACACTTCCAAATTTAGGCCTTTTCTCTCTCTCTCTCTCTCTCTCTCTCTCTCTCAAACAGATAGATAATTAAAACAAAGCCAAACAAATAACCAAACAAAACAGAATAAAACAAAACAAATTTTAAAAAAAACAAAGGAAAAGCTGAGAAATACACATACACAGGCAAACAAAACTATAAAAACACAAAATCAGAAACTGTAATATACTAGCAAAAAAAAAACCCAGTAAGGTAAAAAATGCCTAACAGAGCAATATGAATGTATATATATTCAAAAGTACCATTGATTTAGTTTTCTGTTGACCGTGTACTACTGGGCATAGGACCTGCCTTTAAATGATACTGCCCAGTGAGACTCCCTTGGAGAAAAAGCACTTAATCCCTTGTGACCAGTTGTCAGTCGGAGGTATCTTCTCGGATCAGTTTGAGAGCTGGTGTCCATGTCCACCTCTCTGTGCTGGGGCACCATCTAACTTTGACCTGTGCTGCAGTCTCTCTGAGTTCATATGTGCATCAGCCCTGTTCTGTCTGGGAGGCACTGTTTCCTGGGTGTCGTCCATCTCCCTCGGCTCTCCCAATCTTTCCACTTCCTCTTCTGCAGAGTTCCTTGATCCCTGAGGACAGGGATTTGATGAAGACCTTCCATTTACGACTGAGTGTTCCAAGGTCTCTTTTTCTCTGCATATTATCTAGATGTCCAGATGTCCAGATGTGTGTCTCTGCATTTGTTCCTATCTCCTGCAGGAGGAAGCTTCTCTGATGATGGTTGTGTGGGACACTGATCTAAGGATATAACAGAATGTCATTGGGAGCCATTTTAGCAGAACAATAATATCAAGTACTATGTATTTAATTAAACCACTTTAGAGATGGACTATTCCTGCGTATAATTTTGGGTAAAGTACAGCTTGTTTTGCAGAAAGCTTAAAAACTGATCCGCAAACTGTCCTGATAATTCAGGCACATAGCACATACTAGCCTTTCTTTGCAGTTCCCACGTCCTTGAATGATTGATGCATAGGTCAAGAGGTCAGCCTGGCAGTAGTAAGTAGCAGGTTTGATATTCTTATTTTGTAAAGTGGCTTGCTTTTTGTTTGTTTGTTTTTTCCTTGTAGGGCCTGGACTCACGAAGTGGTGAGTCCCGCAAAGGGCAAAGGATGCTACCTACGGAGTTCACTCCCACCCCTTTCTTGTATGTAACATATTGAGAGAGTCGTGAGGAACAACGAGGAGAAACTGCCATGATTTACCAAGACAAGAAGTAATCCTCGGGCATCACAAGATGATTCAGGTTAGTAACTCCCCAGGCTTACTGTAATTCAGATACAATGAGAGGGTTTAGTGGTGTGCATATGATTAGACCTAATGAGTCCCGGTTCTCCTTGTTTAAAATGTGGTGAAATGTTGGAATGTAGATTGAAGCTTCATTTTTTTTTTTGCACTGGGTAGGGGAGGGGGGAACATTTGAAAATAGTGTACTGAATAAATAAAAACTATACAAACATTTTTGGCATTTAGTTGTGATTTTCTAAGGTATAAACATATATATATATATATATATATACGTGCATGCATGTGTGTGTGTGTGTGTGTGTGTGTGTGTGTGTGTGTGTGTGTGTGTTTAGACAAGCTTTCTCTATGTAGCCCTAGCTGTCCTGGGACTGGCTTTGTAGACCAGCTTGGTTCGGTGTGGTAATACTAAAAGATGCTCTAGGAAAACTGGTCCAGCCTTGACAAGAATAGGCGTTCCAATCTCCTTTAATTCATGGAGGAAGAAAATGACAAACAATAGCCAGCAAGCTAGACATGTCATAAATGCCATGCTCTATTGGAGAAAGCAGAGCCCTTGGGGATAAAACTAAGCCTTCCCAGAGTTCCTTAGACCTCTATGGGTCAAGGGCAATGTCTATCTCCGTGATGACCCAACAGGGAGACCTTGACTCCGGGAGCATTTTCAGCTCTTCTGAGTACTTTTACCCAGTGACCTTCAGGAGTGTAAAACATGGGTAAAAGAAAGGAAACCTTTCATTTTGTTTTGCTGATGGATTCCTCATATACCTAGAGTTTGTCTTTGAAACAGTGCCTGTTGTTTCTCTTCTTCTCAGCCCAGAAGTTTGACATTCCCAAAGTTCCTCATGATGGGGACAGTGGGAGCTTTGACCTGCAGAGGGACATAAGTAAGTTTTCGGGGGAGGAATATGTGCGTGAGTTGATTGTGTAGTTTTCTCCGTGGCTACATCCATCAAGATTGAACAGATTAGGTTGTGGTAGTTTGAATAAAAATAACCCCCACAGGCTTACAGGGAGTGGCACTATTAGGAGGTGTGGCCTTGTTGGAGGAAGTGCGTCACTAGGGGGTGGGCTTTGAGGGCTCCGATGCTCAACCACACCTAGTGTGGCATTCTCTTCCTGCTGCCTGTCAGTCCAGACGCAGAAGTCTCCGCAACTTCTCCAACACCATGTCTGCTTACACACCACCATGCTTCCTGCCATGATGATAAAGGACCAAACCTCTGAAACTGTAAGCCAGCCCTAGTTAAAGGCTTTCCTTTATAAGAGTTGCTGTGATCATAGTGTCTCTTCACAGCAATTGAAACCCTCACTAAGACAGGTACTTTCGTTACGTACAGGCTGCTGCTTATCAGCCATGCCTAGATCAAACTGTTTTAAAATTCAAAAATTAAAAAGAAATGCCATTAAATTGTCGAATTTCATTATTTGTTTCCTTATTAAACATATTTTAGGATGTTCTGTGTAGGTCAGAGATAGGGTATAAGTAAATATGAGTGGGAATGGATGGTTCCTGTTATAAGTGAGACCCTGGATTCTATCAGCATGACCAACACATACACATGCACACACTCACACACACACACACATGCACACACGCACGTGCACACACATGCTCACATACACACATGCAGCGCACACACACATGCACGCAGCACACACACAAACACACATGTATGCGTATACACATACACACACAAACACACACATGCACGTACACACACACACACACACACACACACACACACACACACGCAGAGAGAAAGGGACAGAGTTGGGACTGAAGGAGTTAGGGTTGTACCATCTCAAAGCCAAATTGCGGTGTTGTCTATTTCACACTGAAGTCACTGTAACTTCAGAAAGTCCCATTTGATTGTATTTTCCTGCATTCAGCAAGACACACGCAGGTTGTTTTGGAAGGAATGTCCTCTACCTGCTAAGGCTGAACAGCAGTCTTTTCAGCACAGACTCATGGCTGGTGCTCCAGCAAAATCTGTACAAAGTCTTTGAAGGAACTCTCACCTTCCACAAGCAGCCTCCCACCCACCCACCCACAGTTCCTGGTAACAACCCTGGCCATGACTCCCCTGGTCCATTGTTCCGTCGGCTTTGCGTTCCTCCGCATGTTTATTGCCCTTTGTCTAAAAACATTGGGAAGATCCCTTTGAATGTGCAAAATTAATACAACTTTCCTTGTGGAGACTTGGGAAAGAGATCCAGCAAATCACACACTGATTAAAAATTTTCTGCTCAGAAGTAATCCTCATCTTTTCTGATCATAATTGACACCCACAGCCAGTCACGTGACTCTGCCTGCTGGAGAAGGTGAAGTGTTTAATCCAAACACTTGTGATTTCTTAATGAGGACCCTGCTGCTAGAAGCAGGAATTGCTAATGTCCTTCGCGCTGGTCCCCAGCCAGGCACCTGCTCTGTTAATTTCCCATCATTTCTTCTGCTCTCTTTCAAGCTCTTAGGAATAAAAAATGCAAATGAAAGAAAGCAAAAGCCCAAAAGCATTGGTGCCATTGGATTAGGGATGACTGAGGGTGATAAGATCAGAAACTCAACAAGCTTCAATTGAGGAGGTTTCCACTCTGCCCTGGGAGGGTTAAGATTAGTCCCCAGGAACACAGACCGCAGAGATTGGAATTGGTCTCTCCTCTCTTCTCTCCTCTCTGCTTGCCTCCCCTGACCTCATTCCCTCTCTACTGGGAGATGGGGCTTTTCCATATGGCAGCAAACATGAAGCCAACAGCTTGACCTTTTCATTTTTTCCAACGCTGACGTCAGAGGCAAAGCCATGTCCTGTTGAGCAGCGCCACACTGAGATGCCAGCAGAAGGGTCCATTTGATCCTGTCTCACCTGCTCACCCTGAGCAGTGTGACTATGTCCAGGGATGTGGGCCACATGCACAGCTACAGACACATCACTAGGCCATCCAAGCAGTGCAAGACACAAGTTCTCAGAAGAAGGACGGGGCAAACTGAAGCAATGACTACTCTGTGTTGAGTTAGATACACCTAGAATGCTGTCTTAAAGTAGGCAATGCAGTCCTGTTATCCTCCCACATCACGGACTTAAAATCACGTCCCACTGCATTTAGAAGAAAATCTGAATTAGTTCTGAGCTTCTTTTATTTTATTTTGGTTTTTTGAGACAGGATTTCTCTGTGTAACAGTTTTGGCTGTCCCAGAACTCATTTTGTAGACCAGGCTGGCCTCGAACTCTCAGAGTTCCTCCTGCCTCTGCCTCTCAAGGGCTGGGTTTAAAGACCTGCACCACCATTACCCAGTCAACACATAGCATCTTATGAATTCTCCCTACCTTCCCTGTCTCTGCTAACTCGCCAATGAGTATCATGAGGACCTTTGCTCCCCAAACATGTTCAAATTAAACTAGACATCTGCCTTACAGTTGCCTGCTTTCTTGTCACGAGTGCCCCCCCCACAAAAAACAGCAACAAAACCAACAACAGCAAACAACTATAAAGTTATAACCACTATCAAGACATAAATTATTTCCATCACTCTTTGCACTTTTCTTACCTGCCAGTTCTCTCTCTCTTCCCTACACTGTGACAAGTAACAATTGTTGTAGTGGGAGCCCCCTTGTTTGTTCCCAGCCACTTGGCAGCTCAGACCCGAAATAATCACACAGAAACTATATTATTTAAAACACTGTTTGGCCAATGACTCTAGTGTATTTCTGGCCAACTCTTATTTTAAATCAACTCATCTCCATTAATCTGTGTATACCTTGAGGCTGTGGTTTACCCAGTAAAGTTCTGGATCTGTCTCCGGTGGGGCTACATGGCTTCACTCTGACTCCGCCTTCTTTCTCCCAGCATTCAGTTTAGTTTTCCCCACCTACCTCTGTTCTACCCTACCCAGGCCTAAGACAGCTTTTTTTTTATTAACCAATGCTATTCGCAGCATACAGAGGGGACGCCCACATCAAACAATCTCAATTTTTTTAGTGTTGCCCTGTTTTACTTTTATAATTACAAAACATATATATATATATATATATATATATATATATATATATAGAGAGAGAGAGAGAGAGAGAGAGAGAGAGAGAGAGTTCATTAGTGTTTTACCTGCATGTATGTCTGTAGAGGGTTTCAGATCCTCTGAAACTGGAGTTACAGAAAGGCATAAGCTGCCATGTAGGTGCTGGGAATTGAACCCAGGTCCTCTGGAAGAGCAGCCAGTGCTCTTAACCACTGAGCCATCTCTCCGGCCTCTAGAAAACACATTTTACATATTCAAAGTTTTAAAAACAAAACAAAAAGACAGGAAAGGAACTCTGGAACATAAGCAAGGTGTGGATGTCTGATGGAAGCCCGGCAGCCCAGATTGGGCTTCTCTGGATCCAAAAGGGAGAATCACATGTGACAGGGCTTAGGAAAAACTGGGAAGTATTAAAATAGCAAGCAGCAGTGTGGTATGAACACAGCTTCTGAGACCTAAGGCTGGAGCATGGGTCAGTGAGGAGATCAGATGGGATTTGTGGTCAAGGGACGAGGCAGCAGGCCATGTCAACATCTGGGATGCTCTTCTGAGCTTTCCTCGCCTTCTTCCCAGAGTCAGTTGCTCCTTTTGATGTTTTTATCCTTTGCATCTGGACTGCTCTTAAGTCACATGCTCGTGTGTTCCCCATGGTAAAAGAGGGAGGTGGGTACTGGTTGAAGAAGGTGGGTCAGAGGGGTGACCCCTTGAAGTATATACTTCATTCACCCCAGCGACTTCCTCTATCTCTTGCCCTTGGCTTCCTGGCTGCCATGAGGTAAATGGTTTCACTTAGCCATGTGACCCCAGCCATGATGTCCTACATCAGCTCATGAGCCGCAAGTAACCAGGTCACGTGTCCATGGTAGTGTGAGCCAAAGCACACTTTTATCCCTTTTAAGCTGATCAGGTCAGGTTACAGCAAAGCTGATTCATCTGTTGGGTTTTGCTTTTTTTTTTTTTGCCATCATATTTGTTATTCTTTCTTTCTTTTTTATTGTTTTTATAGCACTATACATTTTCCTTCACTCTTCTCCCTTCTTCCTCTCTCCCCTTCTACCCCCACGCTGCTAATTTACTCAGGAGATCTTGTATTTTTCTCTTTCCTATGTTGATCCATGTACGTCTCTCCTAGGGTCCACTTTGTTGTCTAGGTTCCCGGGGGTTGTGGATTGTGTCATATTTTTTGTTTCTGAACAGGTTACATTATTTTATAGACGGCTTAAGTAGTAACCCTAGAGCTTAGTATCCTTGAACACTCCTTCCTTGAAGTGTAAAGCAATCATTTCTAAATTTTCTGTCATTTAAAAAGGAACAATTTAATACTCTGGTTTTCCTTCATATCGCATAAAAAGAAGCAATTTGCCTGTCCTAGGGTCGTGAGAAACACAATGGGCTGTAGGGAAGAATATCTTAAGGCTAACGAGAACGCACTTGGAATTCCAGGTTGGGAGCTGAAGAACTTCAGGACCCAGGCCAACACTTGGAAGTGACCATTGTCTTGGCGTCAAGTAGCCCTGAGGCAACGGTCCAGACCCCACAGGGGAGTGAGAACTAGGTCATAGAGCAGGCTGTGCCCTCTTCCTGCTCTTTTCCCTCCAGTCTCTATGAAACACTGCAGTCTCTCATGCCGTTTAAGTCCTACAGTTACTTTATTTATTTATTGCAGAACAGTCTTTCTCTTGTTTTATGTACATGTGCGTCATCCAAATTGGACGCCAACAATCCAGACACACCTGTGCTCACGTGATTCCCTAGGACTCCAACAATCCAGAAGTACCTGTGCTCACGTGATTCCCCAGGTCCTTTGGTTCATATTCTCGGGGCTGAGCCAGCTTCTCCCATGATCTTTTTCTCTGTGGGGCTGGTGTTCACCCTGAGTCCAGTCAGCACAGCAGAGAAGATTGCCGGCGATGACAGGGATGCTCTGTTCTCTTCCATACTCTGTCCAGAACCTACGGTCACAGGGGTCGTGGCTGACATAACATGGGTGGAAAGGGGGTACTCCAGAAGGACTTCTTTTGTTTCGGGGACTTCTTTGAAGAGGAAATCTCTGGGGCAGCTTTTCTCCCAACTAGTTTGTGCAGAACATTATTCTATAGGAAGACGAGAAACAAAAAAAGAACAGCACAGGTCCGATGGTTTTGAGAAGTGGAAATTTTATAGTCCAACTCGGACAGTTTTCTGAAACCCATAGCATGCTGGTGAGCCTTTACATCCCAAAGGGGAGGCAGAAGCATGGGGCTTTGACCACTTACCTCTTTGATCTGGAATCTTTTGCAGGTTTTGAATTTGGTGACACACAGGACTGGAAGCCTGACTAAGCCCATTTCTGTGTCCTCTGCTTCCCCTAGAATCCACTGCTGGTTTTCCCCTCTAGTCTTAATACATTAATCAGCTACCAAACCCAGCAGGAATTTGCTTATTTGGGCACACATAAAATTCTGATAGAAATTAGTATAAGAACCTCGAAGACATAGAATTTCAAGTGTCACATCCACAATCAATAATTAACCCTACCACATTGAAACCTTGAGTGTGATGTGGTAAAAAACAGAATGGATTCACCCTGCTCACTCATTTAAAGACAGCAATCTTCAGGGTTACTTGTTTTTGGTAGAAGCCAGGTAACTTGGGTAAGAGCTCAGAGAAAGGTCTCCCAGGATGCTAAACAATCTGCACTTAAATTAGAGACTTCCCCCCCACTTTGGTATTTTATCTTTCACCATTTTTTAAAAAATCTTCTCTAGTACATTACATCCCGACCCACAGTTTCCCCTCCCTCTGCTCCTCCTCCATTTCCCTTAAAAAGAAAAAGAAAAGAAAAGAAAAGAAAAGAAAAAACAGACCTCCCAGGGATAACAAAGCAACAGGGCAGAACAAGTTACAGTAAGACTAGGCACAACCTTCACATCAAGGCTGGATGAGGCAACCCAGTAGGAGGAAAGGGGTCCCAAGCGCAGGCAAAAGAGTCAAAGACACCTCCACTACCAAAGAACACCAATCTAATAGCCATAATATGTGTGCACAGGACCCATACCTAGGTCAGCCCCATATAGGTTCCCTGATTGTAGTATGTTCAGTCTCTGAGCCCTGCTCAGTTGATTCTCATGGTAAAATTGGAGCCAGTTTTAAGTAGGCACATATTTCCACTTACGCTTTGCCTCATTGCACTCGCCAGTGTCATTTGTTCTGAGTTTCTCCAAAATAGATGGGCCCGATTGATTCCCTAAAAGGAGTGTGGCATTCAAATAGACAGATTGCTGAGATGGAGACTTTTGACTTAGAAGAAAAGTCAGCAGGGGCTGGGGAGATGGCTCAGTAGGTAAAGAGCCTGCTGCATTGGCAAGTAGAAGAACAGGAGTTCGGATCCTCAGCACCCTTAGAAATGCCAGTGTGCATGCAAGCAGGTAGGCCTGCAGCCCAGTGCTTGGAAGGTCGAGGTGAGGGATCCCTGGAGGAAGTCAGTTGTGTTCCAAGTGCTGAGGATTCAGCATTAAATGTGACAAAGCTCTCCACACTAGGACCCTCCAAGTAGGAAGGGTAAACAACTATTAACGGAACTGTGTGCAGCATGCAGTAGACACAAGAAATCTAAGAGATACCCAAGAACCAAAATGCTCTTCTAAGTTATTGAAAATATTTTCATTTTGATTGGTAAAAGCCGCTTTCTGAACCCCTAGCCATTTCTCTTGAGTGTTCCTCGTTTTCATAGCATGGTAGAATAAAAGAGCAGGCATTCAGTAGCGAAGGCCTGGTTGCTGCTTTTCTCTGCCTTTCATCCCTCCCTCTGGCCCTTATCTTTCTTGGAGGAGGGGATGCCTGTGCTAGGAAAAGGTCAGGATCTGCCCAGCTCCTGTTTGACCTGGAATGTGTGACATCTGGGAGGCCTTAGGCTGTGGCTTACTACAGGTGATAAGTGAGCCTTAAGCGATAAGTTGAGTTCAGGTCACAAAAGGCATTGCAAGGCCTCCTGAGCCAGATGAACTTAATTGGACCACTGTAAAGACCTTTGGAGATGCCCGAGGTGGAAAGCAACGTGATTGGATGAACATTTCAACTAAGTAGATGTAAGTGGTTATTATCCCAAAATAAATAAATATATAAATCGAAGTGCTAGAAAATCTGTTTGCAGACTGTTGAAATAGCTCAGGTCCAGAGCTATTCACTCCGAGATCAGATTAACATCGGGCTTGTTCACCGTGGTGTGGCCATAGACAAGAGCTGTTTACTCAAGAAGAGCCAATGAACATAGAGAAATTATTGGAATCCAAGGACATTAAAAGGGTAGAATTCATATCCCCCTCCCCGTGTGTGTGTGTGTGTGTGTGTGTGTGTGTGTGTGTATGGCTAGGTCAGAGGTCATCCTCAGATGTGCAGTCCTCTGCTACTCACTTGGCCATAGGCTACACCGATGGGCTAGGGAGCCCCAAGGGTCCGACCATCTCCAGCTAAGTACTTTACCAAGTGAGCCATCTTCCCAACCTCTCATGGCTTCTTGATTGGAGTAATACCTTCCTGTTATAAAATTCAAGGTCTACCTAGCCTTAGATAGAAATTCATTCAAATGAAACCTTTTGATACTAACATTGACCATGCTTCCAACATGAAGCGTTGATCCTGTGTGGAAACTTAACCTCTCCCCAAATGATGGATTTCTGAAAGTGGGTGGATGAACACCATACTCTTATTAAGGTTTTGGTGTTGATACTGAGGCTCCAATGCAGGTTTCGTTGCAGCTATAAGGAAGCACAAAGACCAGCCAACCTTTTGCAGTTGTAGGCTGGAATATCAGGAAGTCTATGCCGTCCCTCTATCTGTGTCTGGTTCATTTCCTTACCTGTCTGCCTGCTGTTGCCCCTGTTTTCCCCAGGATGGATCCTGAGGCTGCCCAGCTAGAGAAACGGCACGTACACGATGTGTATGAGAGCACCGCCCCCTACTTCAGTGACCTACAGAGCAAAGCTTGGCCACGAGTCCGCCAGTTCCTGCAGGACCAGAAACCAGGCAGCCTCATTGCTGACATTGGTAACGCAGACTTTTGTTTGGCCATGCGTGGTTCTGATGCGTGCCTGTCGTTCGTACCTTATTTTCATTCTAACCAGAAACGTGATGTGGTGTTGTAGCGTGCTAGTCTCTAGAATATTCACTTTATCCCAAAAGTTCTTATCATCAAAGTCATCAAGCCGGAAACATCCCCCAACCTATACTCAGAGGAAGCAGTGACCTATTCTGGGCCCTTATGCAGATTTTCCATCAAAACCAAGCATCACCGAATAAATAAGGATGGAAATGAAGCAACATTGGCCAGTTTCGGTTTAGAGACGAGATTTTCACATGTGTAAGATGTGTTTTGTATGCTTGGCTTCTCTTGAGCCGTGACAACTACGTCAATGAAAGAGCCAGACTTGTGAGGTCATGAAGGAAATCTTATACCCTTTCATTATTCCGATGAGCCCTTCCCCTTATTTGTAGGCATGGAATTGCTAGGGCGTATCTTTAACTAGGTAGCGCTTCCATAATTGCTGCTTTATCTGGAGGACTTCGGCTCAGCATCTTTCTGCACTGAGGAGCGGTAAACCACAACTTAGTCTAAGATGATGATTTAAGGTGCGGTTGGATTTCTGCTTCCCACTAACTCGGCTTTTCAGGAATCACAAGCTTGCTGTGCACAGAAGAATCACAAGTCTATAGTTAACTCCTTCTTAGCCTAGGTTAATATCTCCCTTAGTAGTGATGGGTGTGCAGAGCATTTGACAAAGGATGTAACTGACAGAGGGTATAAGCAGTTCACAGTCTAGAAAGAGGGGTGTACCATGCTGAAGTTGGGGGTCTGAAAAAATATCTCAAGTGTGTCAGTTTTTTTTTTTTTAAAAAAAATATGGTATCCTGGACTTGGGCATATGGTGCAGGAATAGCAGGCATACTCTCCATGTTCAGAGCCCTGGGTTCAAATCCCAGTACCACAAAGGGGGAACAGTACCTGGTTTTAGAGAATGAAGTAAGTTCAGAGCTCCCACTGTCCACTGTCCATGCAAAGCACAGGACTCTGATATGAGTGGGGAGGAAAGGAGCGATTCACCCAGAAGGTTTAGAATAGCAGTATACTAAGATGGTGCTGTTATTATATCTTACCCAAAAAGACACTCTAGGATGAAGCAAAGGTTTAAGTGTAAGAAAATGAAATTGTTGAAGGAGAGTGAAATTGTTTTTGAAGTAGTCCTGAGACAAAAGGCCTCTCTATGTCTTAAGAGTTCCCTTGTTCATGTTTTTAAAAGAGGGGGAAAAAAAGCTATAAAAGAACGAATTGATAGTCATTATTTGTGCTGTGTTCTAAATGTCCTGTAAGCACTGGACTGGTGAGCATCAACTCACTGTCCTGAGGAAACACCTGGAGAGGTTCAGATACATATTAATCACACATTTTTGCCCGTTTGCCGTGTTTCTGTTTGAGGATGTCTTGTTCACTGGCTGTTTCTGATTTGTTCACATCAGACTCTCAGCCAGCGCGTTACACTCCTGCTTGAACAAAGCCTTGTCTCGGGTGTTCTGCCCACAGGCACCGCATCTGTTGGTGAACTATCTGTGAACCCAAGAATGTTGCAGGGAGAAGGGGTGCACTTGCACAAAACACACACACACACACACACACACACGCACAAAGTGCAAACTCTTGGGCATGAAATAAGTTGTGAGAAAGATACTCACATATAGTGTTAGCTGACATAGAGTCTAGCGAGTCAAGAGTAGAGAAGAATTTTTGTTTTTAACTTGGGCTTTATTAAAATAGCAACGCAGGAGACATCAAATTCCAGTAGCTGTGAGAATGTGCTCTGGGATCTTACAAAAGTTGGTGTAACTAAAACTGCAAGGAAGTTGCCAGTTCTACCTCTGTTTGCTGGAACTTGTGACAGATACAGCAAGAGTTCATAAGAAAGGAATTAGGCACAGTCTGTCTCTGGGCAGTTTAGTGGGAGAGAGGAAGGTGTGGTTTTATAAATGTTTACAAAGCTTTCAGGCGTCCTCCCAGAAAATCTCAGTTGGCACCAACAAGAGCATGAGGTCACCATGAGCCTGGGTAGGTACCAGAGAGTTCGGTTCAAAAGTTCACCTGTCATAAGCCTGACACACGGATGGCTCCGCAGGGCCTGGAAACTCATTTTAAGTGTCCAGAGCCAATTACTCCACTTTGATTTTCTTCACTGACAATAATGTGAGAGCTGCAGCAACTCAGACATTTTTGTTGTGATGCAGTGCATGCCTGGAGGACCATGCCAGCGGTGTGCAGGCTGATTTTAGGGCTAGGAATAAGGTTTAGCAGCTAGATGAAGAGCAAATACGGAACTAGCCATGAATGTACAAAAATCGTATTGATAACTTTGATTCCATAAGATTAAAAAGGATTTAAGAGGAAAATCTAAGTGAATATATAAAGTCTAAAGATCAAAAAGCAAACAAAGTACTATATCCGCACTACTTCTTATAGAAGTGTGCATAAATGCAAATCACTAACTATAACTAGAGGAAATACGTTTTTGCCCTTTTGAAATCTTTGAATCATATGTGATTTATGTACTTAAACAAATCAGTAAACGGTAACCCTTTGATTAGAAAATGAAGGGTATATTACAAAGTAAAATTGAATTAAAGAAGAAATAATGTTGTTCTGACCAGGAAAGTTCTCTTTCACTGTGCTGGATTTAGCCAATAAATGGGAAGGCTGTTCTGGAGGGTGGGGTGGCAGGGGAGGGCTGTGTTAGCAATAAGACAGAGAATTGAATGGGCACTTTCTCCAGAACCAGGCCTGCTAGCTAGGGGCTGTAGGCATGAGACTTTTATAGGAACTCTGATGAAGCCTTATCAGCAAGGCAGACACCGAGACAGCTGTAATTTTAGGGTGGTCTGTTTTTCTGATACATTGAATGCACTGGGCTCTGTAAATAGAAATAAAAGGTTTTCATTAGAAAGCCATGACTCATCTTCTATCTTAGTTTTCTGCCCTGGGAATAGCTAATTCCGCAGCTAATTGTTAGGATAATAGGGACAGCGTGTATGTCTGAATGAAGGCCTTCACTTTATGTGATATGTCTTAATAAAAATTAAAATCAAGTTATGGGGATATAGAAACTGTGCCTCCCCTGCTCCCCCCCCCCACATACCCCACTAGAAGAAAGAAAATGGTCATGTTTTCTCAGCATGGAAGAAGACAGAGAAAAGCTGCTTTTGCACCCCTTGTTTCTATGGTCTTGAAAAGTGATCTATGATAGCTGTACTCATGGCTTGAATGGGTGAGTTTATTAAGTCTATAGCAAACAAAAGTACAAGGACAAATAGCTAGACGGAAGAGGCCGGTAGAGAGCAAAGCATCATCAAACCAGTTTGCAACATCCAGCAGAGACCATCATCAAATCATGTTGACAACGTCCTGCGGAGGGGTTGGGGTAAAAGAATGCCTCACTGTATAGCTCAGATGGCCTGAATCGGTCATCCTGCTGTCTCAGCCGAGATTACGGGTGTCTGCTCCCGTACCATTCAAGAAACCTGAAGGGCAGAGATTAAGGAAACGTGGAGAATAGCATAAATGATCAGAGCTTCAGCGGTTCAACAGCAGAAACACGGGGACATATCCTGGAAGCACCGCAACCGAACCAGCGGTCATGGCAGTTTCCCCAGAATCGGCTGGGCCATTTTATGTCTCCTGCACGCAGCATGGTGGGCAGTGTGTGGACTGAAGTCACGACCCAGGGCCATTCATAAAGCGAGAGAAAGAACAAAGCTGGATACTTCTTCAGGATGATTCTGCTCATAATTAACTCCAGAAATACCTGCCCGAATGGCACTAAAGATGGTATTTTTGTGTGCATAATAAAACAGATCTCCTTTTTGATGGATTGGAGCCATGTTCTTTTATCTTCTGTAGCCACGTTGTGGTACAGAGTACAGCAACAAGAAGGGTCTGAGCACACAGACACTCTCTTCAGTAAGGGCATGGTTGTCATTAATGAGATTTCACAAGGGAGCGTGATTATCACGGACTGGGGTTTGCCGTGGGATCATAAACATTCAGGATACATCTCGATCGATGTATCAGGAAGACCTGGGTTGGTGATGGACCTGACTTCCTCGTTATGTGAACGTCTCCCCTTGTTGCCATCTAGGGTGTGCACTTAGTTAGCATTGTTTGCAGGTTCTGTTCAAAGTGATGCTATTAGAAACCAACATGGGAGGAGGTGAGAGCGCCAGAGGTCTGGGCGCTAAGAGAAAAGGCCGTAGCCTCTTTGTTACCAGTGGTTTTCTGAGGAGCACCCACTGTCTGTCATAATGTATGAAAAGTTCCTGGCAGAATCTTTGGACAGATTTTTCCCTTTCTTTTCTCTAAATGCGCCTTTCAAACCAATAAAGGGAGAAGTGAATTTTCAAGATATTTATGAAAATGGGACTATCGTCTTTGACACAGACAGGACTTCACCTTCGAAATGCAGCATGATTTATATTTTCCCTGTGACTGTCATCAACTGGCAGCCATTGTTATTCATAAGCGTTGGGAGCAGCGGCTGTGAGATCTGAAATGAGTATCTGATCTCAGCCATTTATATTGAAATAATCACATTAGAAGGCTTATCGTTTCATTCCCTTCCCCTCTCCACTGTCGCAGCTGGCACCAGGAATCCTTCACTCTGCTTTTCATGTCTCATGGCTTTGAAAGCAGGGTATTAAGGAAGAGTTATTAAGAACTGTCCTGGACTTATTACTCAGAGGCAGCCAGACTTCACATCTGAATATCGGTTGATATTTTTGTGCTGCGGAAAAAAAAAAATCTCTAAGTAAGAAATGCCAGCGGATACAAAATCAGCTCCCTTGATTTCTTCCAACACCTCTTTCAAGGACCTAGATTACGTATTTAAGACTGAGGGTCATGTTAGGAGACAGGCACGGTGACGTGTGCCTAGTGCGCCAAGTTCTTGGAAGACTGACATGGGGAGAACTCACTTGAACCCAGAAATTCAGCTTGGGCAATACAATGAGACCCAATCTCCAAAGAGAACTTGGTGGCAGGTGCTAGATGACAGAAGGTTCCCCCCCACACATCTGTCTTTACGCTCTGTCATGCTATAAGATTTGATTGACTTCAGTCTCTGAACTATGTAGCTTGGGCCTCTACCATTAGGAAATGAATGTCAAAAATAGTCTGTTTGATTAAATTCTTCATTAGCGCTGTAGACTGACCTAGCAGGAATGCCCTAGCAATAACCTAAGAGCATGTAAAAAGATGCTACTTTCTTTAACAGTCACATTCGTATGTTTAAAACCACATTTGATGGTATAGATTATCCTATTTCTATACATTGAAAAGTCATCAGCAGTAGTTGGCTTCACATGGTCAGAAAGTGGTAAGACCCCTTGGACAGGACATTTGACGTAGCACGCACACGCAAAGCAAAACATGTACATCAACCTAAAGATGCCAACTGCTGTCTGTCCGCCTCAGTTTCTGGATGCTGGAGGTTGTGTTTCCCAGGGGCAGGCCAGCTCATGTGATTGGATTGTGCTGATGTGTTGAGCCCCATGGGCACTGCCCCAATAAATATTCCATACATATTATATCTTTTCTCCCCGTATTGTGACTCTCCTCTCTTCTGTGTGAATCTACAGAAGCATGCCCTGAAGTCTTGTGTCTTGGTCATTTAATATAGTTTCTTTAGCTGTTGTAGGACAAGTTAACTTGCATTTTCCAGCAAGGCCAGCATGTAACAGAGGTTTTTCTCTTACAGGTTGTGGAACTGGAAAGTACCTTAAAGTGAATAGCCAAGTCCATACCCTGGGCTGTGACTACTGCGGGCCTCTGGTAGAGATTGCCCGGAACAGAGGGGGTGAAGTCATGATATGTGACAACCTTAATCTCCCCTTTAGGGACCAGGGCTTCGATGCCATCATCTCCATAGGAGGTAAGGCAGCCAGGCCACCATCACACTTTGTCATGAAAAAACACGGTCAGGCCAATCACATGACTCAATGTCCATTCTTTGTAGAGGTCTATGCAATGCATTTATCTAATTTTAAAATATCTTCAACTGCATGACTTATTTGCTTCACATACATATATATATTTATATGTATATATATATACATATATATATATAGTTTTAATTTTAAACCTTCAGGCTATTATTGCATTGTTTTTGATGATTTGTTCCCATTTCTCTTATTATGTGCGTGAAAAATGTTAGGGCTCTTATTCATTGATAATATGCTTTGCTAGATTGAGACCAAGCCAGATTCTCCTGGCATAAAGTTAGATTTTTCAGATGTCATGTTACTGAGACAAACAAACAAAAACAGGTCACGATAGTGCCCTCTGTTAACAGAAAATTCTAGAGCAAATGTATTGAACAACCCCTGGACAGGTGTGTCATTCACTGGTACTCAAGTTCCTGAAAAAGGCAGGTACCAGACTGTGTTGTTTTATTCCATTTTTGTGTTCCCAATTCTGGATGTTGTTAATGAGTCTATCTTCTTAGTAAACTCAATGCCAGAGCAAACAAAACAGCAGTAATAAGAAAAATCTATGTCTAAGACATGCACACACATATATGAGTTCACTTTACCCAGTACTCTTGCCGTCCAATGTGTTGGTTGTACTTAAATGTGGTGGGAGGGTCCCGTAGCCAGGTATGGTGCCATACACCTTTATTCTCAGCATTTGGGAGACAGAAGCAGGTGGATCTCTGGGAGTTTGAGGCCAGCCTGTTGTAATTAGTGAGTTCTAGGACATCCAAGGCTACATAATAAGACCTTGTCTCAATAAACAAACAAACAAATAACAAAAATAAAGGAATCTTCTGCTAAGTTCTTTACAGCTCTCAAATCTGATACAGAGCAAATGAGTTGATTCAACACATTTCTTTAGTTAGTGTTTTGGCGAAACAAACTTTACCAAAGCTAAGTGATCTCATAGAAGCTGACTACCATTCATGATTTAAAAAATATATAGAATAATATTATTTATACTTTGTTGAACTAGAGGTGAGGTTACCAGGTCTCCTCAGATGGGAACTGTATGTTTGTATAATGAGAAGATTCAGGCCTGGATGTCTGTAACCCTGGAAATGGTCAGGAACAGTAAAAGGTGGCTGCCATGGGAACCTCTCCTGTGCTGTCTCACTTCCTACTCTTAAAACTATTAGGTGCATTTTTCCATAAGCATTAGTCTATACAGGCTGCTATAACAAAATATAATGGACTCTTGTATTTTAAAACAATAGACTTTTATTTCTTACGTCAAATAACCTTAGGAGGGCTTACAGATGAGGGCTGCCTTCATTTTTTTTTCTGATTCCCTGTATGGCAGAGGTAGAGGGTGAGTATCAAACTTGCTGACCTCTTATGATGGTGCTAATCCAAGCAACCATGTACGACAGCCTCTGAAGGTCTCACTTCTTGCAGACATAGTCTCGCTTGAAGTGATACAGACATAACAAAGGATTCTTTTTGACCTAGGCAATACGATGCTGTTCTCAGAACCTTTAGTGGGGAAAGGTTTTTATTTGGTCACCTTCCTAAAGAACTTGAAATTAAAGAGTTTGGGAAAAGACGAGACTTGGCCCTCTTGCGGCTCATGCTTATTTTTCACATGCTTCTGTCGGGGAGAGGAGGGCGGCATGGATAGCTTTTTCGTGTTTGAGAAACGGTCCGTATTTCTTCTTGAACTCTTCTTTGTTCTCAGCTCAAAGGCTATGCCTTTCCCTGACAGAAAATGGAGTGTGCTACTTACTCTCATTTGTGGCCTTTTCAAAGCTTACCTTAGAACTTGCCGTGGCACTCCTGATCATAGGAAAGCTGATGGTGGAAATGGGTTAGCTACCACAAGTCTCACAACCTCTGAACCAGAGGGATGTGCACACTGTTTTCCTGAGGTGAACCCCAGATCAGGACCCTAGTACAGACCAAAGCAGCACAGTCAGGATCCTGACAGGATCGGGGGGATAAATTTCTTAGAGACACATTGGCGGCCCAATGGCAGCTTTCTACGGGAAAGCCCACTCCGCACGGGTGGCACCTCATGGAAAACATCACAACTTACGGGGAACTCCACTGAAGACCTCCTCTCCCCCAGCAATGGCTGACTCTTACCTCAGCCAGGGGCTCAGAGGTCTTGTGAGCTTCTAGTCAGTGCCTCACAGAGCATCTCCCCCCATCCCAGGAAAAGTTTTCAATTCAGAGGAAATATCTGCATATGAATGAGCTCGGCAGGGTTTTGTTTAATACCTTTGTCTCTCTCAGTTCTCTTTAAGAAGGAGTCCCAAGGCCCTCACCTGTGCTGACCCACTGGTTTGGGGAATGACTATCCTCTGAAAACATGAGCCAACTAAATTTCTGTTGTTTATAATTTACCTCGTCTTTGGCATTCGTTATGGTAGCAGGAAATACACTATCACATCCTGTTACTATCTTTTCATTGAAAGTGCTCCCTTGAGAGCGGGCGGTGATGGTAAGTGCCTTTAATCCCAGCACTTGGGAGGCAAAGGCAGGCGGATCTCTGTGAGTTCAAGGCCAGCCTGGTTTACAAGACCTAGTTCCACAACAAGCTCCAAAACCACAGAGAAACCCTGTCTTGAAAAACCAAATGGGAGGGAGGGAGGGAGGGAGGGAGGGAAGGAGGGAGGGAGGAAGGAAGGAAGGAAGGAAGGAAGGAAGGAAGGAAGGAAGGAAGGAAAAAGGAAAGAAAAGGAAAGGAAAGGAAAGGAAAGGAAAGGAAAGGAAAGGAAAGGAAAGGAAAGGAAAGGAAAGGAAAGGAAAGGAAAGGAAAAAGGAAAGAAAAGGAAAGAAAAAAGGAAAGGAAAGGCTCCCTTGATAGACACCAAACATGCTTTTAGGAACTCTAGCTATGAGGTAAGGGGATAAGTTCATTTCTAGTCATATTTCACATTTAGAAATAACATTATGAAAAATTTCAAGACCCTTACATTCATATATATTTATTCCCTATTTTGAATTGCATATTTTGGCATTTCTTGCTTGTCTTGACACGAGGACATATCTTTTTTCCCACTTATTTTCTTGCTTTTGGAGTCTCTCAATAACAGAGAGACAACTGTCATACTTGACTGCACACCTGTCACGCTCCCCTGGCGGATACAAACCAGAAACACATTCCCTGCCTTTAGAGCAGCTTGGCAAACAGTCTAGAAGAATCTAGCAAGACAAACTGGTGTAAATCAACTGCCCACTTTACACCGGTGCCTCTGAAGTAGAGCAGGATCACTCCCAGCCCCCTCCCTCTGAGGGACATGGAGCAATGTCTGGTGATGAGTGGACAGACAGGTGGATGTATGCTGTTGTCACCTCGCAGGTAGGCTCCCCCACAGCAGGAGGGCTCTAGCTCGGAATGCCAATGACACTTCTGCTAAGCCTGTAAGTTCTGAGTGCTTAGTAAGACCTAAGCGCTTGCAAAGTTAAAAAGCAGTAAGTAAGTCATAAAATAGAAGCTGTGACAGGGTGTTAAAGGAAATCTGCTGTCATCATTTGGCTCTGTGATCCAAAAGTTGGATTCAACGGTTTTTTTTTTTTTTTTTGAGCCTCTCTGACAGAAAAATTGCTCTAAGTACTTATATGGTGTGTATATATGGAGTGTGTATATGGCATGCATATATTGGGTACATATACAGGGTGTATATATGGGGTGTGTATATAGAGTGCATATATATGGGGTGCATATATGGGTGTGTATATGAAATGCATGTATGGGTGTATATATGGAGTACATGTATAGAATACTGTTTTTGCATTTAGGTTGTGATTACAATTCACAAAAGTATTCTTTGAATTTTTCAAATTTCAGCCTAGCTTCTCAGCAGGGACATTCTAGGCAGATCTCACCATAGTAACACTCACAGTGCTTCCTAACAGAACATGTATGTGTGTGTATATATAGCTTGTTTGACATGTGTGAGGAAATCCTCCTTAAACCTCTTTTTTCCTCCAAAACATTTGGCTTGGGGCTGGAGAGATGGTTCAGCGGTTAAAAGCACTGCTACTCTTGCAGGGAACCAAGGTTCCCTTCCCAGAAACCAGTTTGAGCAGGTCACAACTGCCTACTCCAGTCTCAGGGGATCCAACACCCGCCTATAGGCATCTGCGTACACCCGGTATTGGCTCGCACAGATACAGATGCACAAATGAAAAATTTTTTTAAAAAAAACACTTGTTTTAAAAGCTGTTACCCATACTCAGTTAAATATAAGTTTAAAATAATCAGAGTCATTTTTCTGTATAAGATTATAACTAAAAATGAACTGTTCTGTATTTATCAATAAATGAATGAAGACTTTGTTCTTCCCTCTAAAGCTGGGTAGAATCCTGGAACGTTAGTCTATTACAAAGAGATATGCATTGAGTGAAACAGTCCTGTTTCCCCTGTCCCCTATTTGGGCTTTATATGATCCCTGCAGTGAGATGCCACGATCCCCAGAAACTGTGTCCTGTAATCTGTCTGTTACTCCAGTTCCAAGGGATCCAATGCGCCCTCCTGACCACGGCACAAATGTACATACACATAGGCAAAACACCCAAGCACCCACGCAAAAAAAAAAAAAAAAATTAAAAAATAGAAAAAATACAAATGTTGCGTGATCTCCCTCTGAAAGCTATTTATTTCCCTTCCAGACTTTCTCTTTCCATACTCAATGCATCCCTGTGGCAGGTAAACCCCAGAAACCACTAGTTTAAAATTGCCGCTAAGAGCTCAATGGTGTGATCACAAGGGGGACAGTTTTAGCTGCTCTCCGCCCACAGCAGAGAGGGAATCTCCCAGCTTTGCTTGGAACCAATCTCCTTCCTGATCCATGTAACGGGTCCTGTTTCAAAGACTAAGGATGTTTCCTCTTGACACAGTGCTATAGTTAAACCCCCCTAGGATCTAATAGACTAGCACTTCTATTTATTTCCTGGTGAAAATATACGTAAAAAAAAACCAGGGGTGCAGCTCAATGGTAGGGTGTTCCTCTCTCATGCTGTCTCCTGGGTTCACCGAGCACAGCATAATAATTGTTACTGCTATGACTATGCACCCACAATGACACACATCCATGTAAGTGAAAGGTGGATTCTATTTAGAAAGTGCTCGGATCGTCCTTCAACTTTGCAGGACTGAAAAGTAAAAGAGTAACTTGTAAATAGGTTTTTTTAGGCATCCACAATTATTGTTTTATCTGTAAGAAATGCTAAGTAAGCATTTGAAGTTGTCATGCTTCTCTTTGCATTATCTAACTGAAAAAGTAATATTTAACCCTTTGCTCTACCATATTTGTTTCAGGAATATTTCTAATACCAGTGGCTTATTGCTGCTCATCCTTTGTTTCTATGGAAATAGCAATTGTTCAGTAAAACAGCAAATGATCTCATAGACTCCACCAGAGAACACTGCCTCACTTAATGCCCCTTTCATGTTTCAGTAATTCACATTGATTATCCTTGTTCATCCAGTTATCAAATTCCACAGGTTTTGGAGCTGAAAAAGGCTATCTTTAGGTTTCTTATTAGAACTGAGGAGAGTATTCAATTCTATAAAATTTACCCAAGCCAAAAACTGTGCCTCTCTGAAAGCCAGACCATCCTAGTGAGGGTTTCTGTTGCTTCGACAAAACATCGTGACCAAAGAGCAAGTTGGGGAGGAAAGGGTTTATTCGGCTTACACTCAGCACCTCTCTTCATCACTGAAGGAAGTCAGGGCAGGAACTCAAAGCAGAGTAGAATCCCAGAAGCAGAGGCTATGGAGGGGGCTGCTTACTGACTTGCTTGCCCTGGCTTGCTCAGGCCACCTTCTGGAACCCAGGACCAGCAATCCACCCATCATAGACTGGGCTTTCCCACTTTGATCACTAAATGAGAAAATGCCTTACAGCTGGATCTCATGAAGGCATTTCCTTGGCTGAAGTGCCTTCCTCTGATGATTCTAGATTGTGTCAAGTTGACCCACAAAACCAGCCAGTACACAAACCCATGTTGTTTCTCCAATTTATCGAGATAAGGCTCACTCTAGGTCAGAATTCCATCACTGTTCTATGAAAACACACCTGTATGTATGTGCTTACACATATGATGTGTGTGTGCACAGTGAGATCTAAGTTTTGTTTTGTTCCGTTTTTCTTTTTCAGTCATTCATCATTTTTCTACAAAACAAAGAAGAATTAGAGCAATAAAGGAAATGGCCAGGGTCTTAGCTCCTGGAGGCCAACTGATGATTTACGTTTGGGCAATGGAACAGAAGAACCGACACTTCGAGAAGCAGGATGTGCTTGTTCCGTGGAACAGTGCACTCTGTTCCCGGCTACTCTCAGAATCCCGTCAGTCCTGGGGGCATCCGTGTGGGCATCCCATGAGCCAAGGCTACGAGGGTCCTGGCTCTGCGTGTGGCTGTGCAGTATGTTTGAAGGGCAGGTGCGATTCCAAGAGGTCCCATAGCATGGACTATGGGCCTGCGGTGGCCAGAACTTGCTGTGAAGATCTTCCGAAGGATGGTGAGGAAGAGAATGGATTGTATAACAATTTTGGAAAATCTCTCCGCTCCTGGTTTTTCTCCAGGTCTTTGGATGAATCAACCCTGAAGAAGCAAATTGAAAGAACAGGACCTGTGAAAATCACAGAGGGTTGGGCCAATAGCACTGTGTCCCGTCAGCCTTCCAGACAGCCAAGTTTAGACTTCCATCCCCAGGACCCATTGTCAACCAAAGAACCAAACTTAGATGAGGTGTTTGTAGACACATGTTCTCAAAGACACTTGCGCTGGTTGGGACAAACAGGCACTTCGGAGACCTACAGTGGAGGAAGGAGGAAAGAGGGTGGCGATTTTCTGAACATCACTGACACCAGAGACAGTCAGACTGCAGGTAACATCAGTGATCCTTCTGCCAGAAAATTATTAAGGAGAGTTTCTGCATTTGACTCAACAGATTCCCAATCAGAAGACCCAAGTTACACAGAGGAGCAGAAGGCAGCTCCGGATTCCAGAGCCTTCATGCGCTACTACCATGTGTTCCGGGAAGGCGAGCTCTCCGGACTTCTGCAAGAGAGTGTGTCTGAGCTGCAGGTTCTGAGTGCTGGCAATGACCATGGCAACTGGTGTATCATCGCGGAGAAAAGGGGGAGCTAGGATTGATTGCATCACACAGGGCAGGGGCTTCAGAGGTTGACCGTCATCTGTCCACTGGGGCTGATGTGGGCACCCAAATCAGCATCCTGTCTCATTGTTTTCAAATTCAGGTACGAGATGGTCTTTCGGCACTTTGACCTGATCCTCTGAATCGTTGAGTAAGCACAGAACCTGGAGCTTACTGCATCCACCACAGGATATGCCTGCTCAGACGTCAATAAAAGGATTGGAGGAAGCAATAGAAAATGCACTTCAGTACAGGCTTGATTGTATTTCTCCCGGAGATGAATATATTATAATACACGTATGTCAGATGTCAGTATTACCTTTCGGTTTTTAAATAGTCTGCTGTTAAATATACCTTTTAGAAGCAGTATTTTTATATAGATAAATTATATTGGTTCTCAGGTGGTTCCTTAGATCTGTGTAGACAGCAGCAAGGACCCCTGCTCAGCTGCTGGGTATGTATTCATTGAGGCTTGCTGCAGGGGTACCTTGTTTCTAGGCTTTGCTTCTATCTGCTGCAAGCTCTCAAGAGAAGCTGGTGTGGTGCAGAGAAACAGAAGTACTGCCCAGGCTCTCCAAATCACGTGTACGCATCCTTCACGATGATCACTGAAAACAATACTGTCTTGGCTGTTGCTCCAAAGGCCTTTAAAGGCACTGTTGGCAGAGGGTGTGGCTTAGTGTTAGTGTAGGCAGCTAGCATGCCCAACAATCAGCATGCATGCAGAAGGAAAAGAAAAACATTGCTAGCATGCAGAGCATTACAGGGGTGGGAGACAGCTAAATTCTTTTGGCGGCATTTCCCCAAAGGTATTAAATACCCCAAGGTATTAAAAACATAAACACCCTACTTAGCTAGTGCCAAAAAAGTCAAAGAGTTTTTGACTAGGAAATGCTTGTCTGAGATATCTGAGAGTCTAATTAGACTAGCTTTTCTGGGAAGAACTCTGAAAAGCATTGTGTATTTAGCTTTGGTGTACACATGACTGGAATTTGCTATTGCAACCGGGCATTTATACTCTTGAAGGTGACCACATTAGATTTATTGTATCAATGACCTAGACAGAATCAAACTTAGAGGCTGAATTTCTGGCACTCTATAGAGCAATGATTAAGACCAGGCATTGTAAAATTGCTGTTTCTATTTGGATTTAGCCAAGGGTTTGTTTAGTTCTGTGTCATGGATCCCAGGGAACAATTTTTATGACATAACTAGAGACTGAACTTGGGAGAAACAAAAATAAGTTGGCCAAGGAATGTGGTTCCAGATCATCCTTTAATAGGCAGAAAATCAAATAGTCATTGTACTTTCTGGACCAATATAACGATGGAGATTGAATTAAAATTCAATCTTCATTTTATTATTTTTCCACTCCAAAATTAACAGAAATTATAATAGATCACATTCATTTGGTCTTTACCCTCTTCAGTGATTTTTGCCAGAACTTAACAGAATGAAGCTACTTTTGAGGAAAATTCAAGGATGATTTTAGAACGGTTTTGGGAAATCACCAAGGCTCTTCGCTAGAAAGACAGCTCACCTCACCCCCATTGAGGAAGTTGTCCATGCGATTTGCACTTCTCAATGCACATTTTGTACAGGAAGCCATGACGATAGCCATGGGGTGAAGAGGAAATTAAAATTTAAGGGAGTGGGCCTTTCACTTTTCAAATTACAGCATTAAACTGCAAGTACAGGTGGCCTCGTGGGAGAAATGGCGACTCCGAGCTAGTAGCGGTGACCCCTCCATTGTGGTTTCCTGCCTCTGAGATCTGTTGTTACTTCTTTTGTTTGGCTTTGCTGCTAGACCTCTGAGCTTGTCATCACCCCTCCCTGGCTGTAACTTGCTACTGTAAAGGTCATTATATGGAGCCCAGTTCATTAGGCTGTGACAGGATGACTTGCCAGCTGATGTGGCTAAGCAAGCTCATAAATTAAACATACGCTCCCCTTTGTAATAAAAGGCCTTCAGAATAGTTATTGGGAGAGAGAGAGATTTTTTTCATACAGCACTGACAGAGCCGTGAACACTAGTAATAGCAACCATGCGCTCATTGTAGAGCACAAGACGTCTATGAATCCAGATGTTACAGTGTATATTCGGCAAAACGAGTGGCCAGGTAACCATTCTTCGGGGAAGTCCTGTCAGAAGCACTCTTTCATTCAATGTTTGCCTTTTGGTGATTAAAAGCCATTGAAAACTAATGTAAATATCTTCATCATGCTAAAGCCCGCTCATCTTTATGGCTGTCCTCAGAGAGAAACTCAAGCCCTAAATGAACATCAATGGAGGCAGTGTGAGTCCATCAGCCTTTGCCAGCTTGTGTGTAGATCTGCCTGATGCGATCTGAAAACCTCCACTGCTCATAGACAAAATGATGGTTTTTTTACTAGTTTCTTCCTGTCATCACCGCATGTCTGTCTGACGTGGAAGGGCAAGGTCAGGGAAGTTGTTAGAGAATCCTTAGAGGAAGGGAAGTTGTTAGAGAATCCTTAGAGGAAGGACCAGCGGTGCCTCACTGGTTAGTGTGGACAACTTTGTGTAAACAAACAATACTTGGATATAAACAAAAGATACAATCCACGTGATATTTTCCTGGCTGCCAAATGATTGGTTAGCTTCTCTGGGTTATTAGGCTTCAGAGGGTTTTTGTTGTTGTTGTTGTTGTTGTGTTGCTTTGTTTTGTTTACTTATTGGCAGAGTGATGCGATTTGACCACTGTGCTTCGGTGAGTACAGAGTAGCCGCACACAACACTGACTGTCCTACAGATTTGATCCTCCCCTCTTGCCTTCCAGCCCCATACAGTCCCATCACTCCTTCCCATTCCTAGTTTCCCCTTCTCCTCTGTCCCGATTCTAGATACCAAAGACAACTCTTTGTTTAACTGACCTTCTTCTGAGTCGGTAAAAATCGAAGGTGATCCAGACAGGAAATTATCCGAATGTAAATCAGGCATGTGAATGTACTTATGTGCTATTCGCCACCGAACAAATGAACATGGGTGGGTCTTTCAAATATGTGAGCTGCAAGGAGGACAGAGAATGAAACTCTGGTTGTTCTTGGCAGGGGAGAAATGCCTTAAAAATGAAGGGTGAGAGGCTGGAGGGGTGGCTTGGTGACTTGGAGTGCTTACTGTTCGGGCAGAAGACCTGAGATTGTTTCCTGGTACCCATTGGGCAGCTCATAAATGCCTCTCTTCAGAACTCCAAGGGCACCCACACTCACGTGTGCCCAGACCTATACACATGCAGACAAATACACACAAACACAGAAAGACAGACAGACAGACAGAATTAAAGCATAAAAATGAATCTCTTTTTTAAAAAACGGGGCTACGAACACCCAATTTGGGAGAGAAAAAAAAACATGGAGTGGCTGTTGGCTCTACAGCTAGACAATGAAGAACAAATTAAGCCAAGCATCCCTTTCCCTGGACATAAAAAAAAGGGAAACAATAATAGCAGCTAATTGTAGTAGCCAGTGTTTAATATTGTTTGCAGTCCTCTCCACAGCTCTCTCAGATAATTATACTTATGATACCATTTTATAGATAAAATCTAAGGCAGAAAAAGCAATTGTGCTAAATCATCAGAGTCTATACACAGGCAGTAAGTATCACACATCTGGTTTAAGGCAGAGCTAAGTTTCAATCCCGGATGTTCTGGCTGCAGCCTGGGTTTCTAACCAATGTTCTCTGCATGCCCAGCCGATGGATCCCAGGCTCTGTACTAAGCAGGGAGCAGTGTTCAAGGTTAACTACGATTGCCCCTGTACAAAGGCATCAAGCAGGTTAAGAAAAGATTATGTGTCTCTCTCCCTTTTAACTTTTTAGATGTATTTATTTGTGTTTGTGTGTCTATGTAATCCTGTACATGTGTGTGGATATGATGAAGCCAGAAGACAACTCGCCAAGAGTTGGTTCCTTCCTCCAAGATCTTCCTGGTTGGTGGCAAGTATCCATACTCCCTGAGCCCTCTTGCCAGCTCTGTGTTTTCCTTCTTTCGCTTCCAAATATATCTCAATTTTACTTAAAAAGAAGTCCTTGATCTCAGGGATGTTCCGATTGGTTCTCTACAACTCTCTAACCTTCTGAAAACGTCTATCTCTTTTCCTGTTTTATGAGCAAAGAGCGTGAGGACTCACCCAGGGATTTCATTTCCTCCCTTGTTGAGAGTCGCACAGTGCCCCGGATACAAATGGAAGACCGTGACACATCTGGAATCTTGAGTTGCACATAGTATTAGACTTAATGGCCTGAAACTCAAGTGTTCTCCTGGAACACTTTTTGCATTTGATGTATGCCCGTGATCATACTATATTTTTAGTTTAGTAAAACACAGTATTCAGACCCCTGTTCTGGGGTGGGGGTGGAGGAAAGGATCGCACATGCCTATTAATCTATCTTAATTAAGAATATCTGTCTTAAACACTAAGACTTCATTTGACTGAGGTCATCAAAGGCCATTGAACACCCTCTAACACAATTGCTCTGTAAGTGTGATTTCCGAAAAGCATGTGTCCTGTGGGATACGATATGAACTCATTTGGAAGGCATGCAGGCCCCTCATAAGCCAACCCATGCTATTTTTCAGACTCATTTCCTGAGATTGCACCTGTTTTCTGTTCTGTAATCTGCTATTTTAAACAATGGTTCCATTAAACTTACATAATGACAAGTAATTATCCCACCCCTTGAAGGAATCCAATATAGTCAGTCTTGAAATGCTGTAGCTATATGCTTTACTCAAAGACAGATGCACAAACAGACTCATTCCATCAATGGGTACAGGAAGGCTTGCCCATCTAGTAAAGGACAGCTTGTGGGAATGTAGGGGATCAGAGGCCCCACCTGGTTATTCAAGTCCTCTGGTCCGTCTTGACTCAGACACCAGAACTTGTTTTGATATTATGAACTCCATCCTCAGACCCTCAGTTAAGTACAGGACTGGGGTAAGACCTAAATATAGCTTTCATGATAGCCAGGTATGGTGGCACACACCTCGAATTCCAGGACTCTGGAGTCAGAAGTAGGCAGATCTCTGAGTTTGAGGCCAGCCTGGTGTATACAAGTTCCAGGACAGCCAGGGCTACACACACACACACACACACACACACACACACACACACACACACAGAGAGACAGAGAGAGACAGAGAGAGACAGAGAGAGACAGAGAGACAGAGAGAGAGACCTTTTTGGTTGGGGTTGGGTGGCTCATCAACTAAGTATTGAAATCAACACAAAGAACATTCTGCAGGAGACAGACACAGAAACCAAAGAGAACAATCAAGCAGAAATTTCAGGCTATAAAAGGTATAATCTTTTTGCTTTGTTTTGTTGTTTTGTTTTAAACATGGCCTCGTGCATCTTAGGCTGGTCTCTCACTTGCTGTATATTTGAGGATAACCTTGACCATCTAATCCTCGTGGTTCATGTTGGGCAAAGGATCCAATGCAGGACCTGGTCATAGCACTCAACCCACTGAGCTGCTTCTCCAGTCCCAAGCTGTATAGTATGTTGTTCACCCTGAGATCTACAATGTACCCCAGTAGAAGGCGTGTTTCATGGCAGTGCTACCCCACAGACTGTCCCTTCTCTACGAAGGTTCTCCTTCAATTGATCATAAACATACAATGGATCACTTTATATCGTCAGTGGCTAATCTGACAATAAATGGCTCATTTACAAGGGCTGATATGCAATTGGGTGCCCAGCTGGCAAATATTTGCTCTGTCTTTCAACTATTGCTAGGAAAAATAAAGCTGATTCTAGTTTAACTATTAACCCAACCACATAAAAACAACTGATTTTCCCCCACACTGGTTCTGTATTTGTCTAAGGCTCCTACCTCCTCATGGAAGAAGCTGAATCATAGCAATTCCTCTGTAGCAAGTGTAATCAGACATCAAAGTCCCTAGACAAAGTAGACATGCACTTATGTTCACCCAGGAGGAACACTGTAAGGAAGACAAGCATCTTTCGTATGCACCAATCCTAAAACTTCTGCTTAGTTATTCTGTCAACGTACGGTAAAGATTCAAACTTTTCCTGTTTGTTTATTCAGAGCACTGGCAATATTTAAGACCCACATATAAGTAGAAGATCCAAGACACTCTGAATATGTATGTGAATATGTCCAAGGTTCTTCAGATGCTATTAAATATGTATGTAAGTATTTATGTATATACACATATTTCTAGACCTCCAGTGTTGGCTGTCATTACTGACCAAGAAAAGGTTTCCTTGTGTACTTGTAGAAAACATTAATTCGGCAATTACCATGGAAATTCATTTCATTGAATTGACTTTTGCTGTTTCAGGGACATTTAAGGTGACTGCTAGATGTTTCTGTGCCTTCTCTGGTGTTGATATCTGTGTTTGTGTCAAAAGTGCAAAGCTCTTTCTATCCCAGAGGAAACAAGCAATAGTTTGAGAGCACAAATTGAGGTAAATATCTTTATAACTTAAAGATATTTTATTTACATTAAACAACAATGGCCAGAATCTTTTCGTAACAAATATTAAAAATAGTTTAGCCTACATGCTTGTAATATGTATTTGATTATTCACGTGTTTTTGTGCCCTTTAATAATAGTGCTAGAGAAACAGAATTGTGCTTTTCTTCCTTGTGTCGTGGCAGGGGCTGTTTAGTGCACTCATCCGATTCTCTTTATTCTTCAACAAACTGGAAAAGTTTGCACTTGAACTCTGTTCCTGTTGTCTGGAAGCCGGGTTAACAATCTAATAATGTAGTATCTTTAATGGGTTAATAAAAAGAATATTATCTACTTTTTAAAAGACATATTTAAGACTAATAAAGATGTAGTAGACCATCCCAAGGTGACACTGTGTCTTTTATTGCTTTATAAATAACACCATTCAAAATTTCCACTTCCTCCCCTCCTCCCACTTCCCTCCCACTCCTCCACTCCCCCTTCCCCCACCCCCTCCAGTTCTAAGAGAGGACAGGGTACCCTGCCCTGTGGGAAGTCCAAGGCCCTCCCTCCTCCATCCAGGCTTAGGAAGGTATGTATCCAAATAGACTAGGATCCCAAAAAGCCTGTACATGCAGTAGAGACAAATCCCAGTGCCATTATCATTGGCTTCTCAGTCTGCTTCAATTGTGAGCCACATTCAGAGGATCCAGTTTGATCCCATGCTCGTTCAATCCCAGTCCTGCTGGCTTTAGTGAGCTCCCATTAGATCAGTCATACCGTCTCAGTGGGTGAACCAACCCCTCATGGTCCTGACTTCCTTGCTCATCTTCTCCCTCCTTCTGCTCTTCAACTGGAGCTTGGGCGCTCAGTTCAGTGCTCCAATGTGGATCTCTGTCTCTATCTTCATCTGTTCTATGGTGATCTTCAAGATAGTCATCAGTCTGACTATGGGACAAGGCCAGTTCATGCACCCTCTCATCCACTGCCCAGGGTTCTAGCTGGGGACATCCCCGTGGACACCTGAGAATCCCTCTAGAGCCAAGAGCCAAGAATCCCTCTTGCCAACCCCAAAATGGCTCCCTTAATTAAGATATCTTCTTTCCTGCTCCCATATCTACCCTTCCTCCTTCTCAACCATCCCAATCCCCCAAGCTTTCCCCAACCCTCCCTTTCTCCCTTCTCTCTTCCCCTCTCCCCTTCCCCCCACCCTCATGCTCCCAAATTTTGCCTGGTGATCTTGTCTGCTTCCAATTTCCAGGAGGATCTATATATATATTTTTTGTGGGGGGGGGGGTCGCCTAATTACTTAGCTTTTCTAGAATTGCGAACTGTAGGCTCAATGTCCTTTGTTTATGGCTAGAATCCACTAATGGGTGAGTACATACCATATTCATATTTTTGGGTCTGGGTTATTGCTTGACCTTTGACGACCTCCACCTGCAGGTTATCTGGTGGTTATAATCACAGGGGAGTGGAGACCGGCATTTGTGTTTGGCACCACTGTGACCCCAATAGAGCTCCAAGGAGTTGCAATCCAGTAGCAGATAGATCCTTAGCATCCTGCTGCTTGACAGCCCCTCGTCTGGACTCTCAGAAGGGGCTAGCTTCAGATTGTTGCTTTGGCCCTCAGTGTCAACTGGCGAGAAAAAAAGAGAGGGGGAGTGGGACATAGGAACTCAGGGCTGGAGCCTTCAGACATGTGCTCACAGTCTGACAGAAGGCTTCCAGGTCAAAACCCCTGCAACATGAGGGCCGACTTGTTGGGGTTTCTGTCCTGCCCGGTACCCCACAGCCGGCATACCCCAAGGAAAAATCAATCACACAGAGATCTCTATAAGTTATAAAGCTGATTGGCCCATTAGGTCAGGCTTCTTGTTAACTCTTATAACTTATGTTACTCCATTATCCTTATCTCCATTAGCCACATGGCTCCGTACCTTTCTCAGCTGGGCAAATTACATGCTGCCTCTTTGGCGGTCTGAGCAGGAGTGGCGGAGGAGCTTTCTGCTCTCTAGCCTTCTTCTATTCTCATTGCCCCGCCTCTACTTCCTGTCTGGTTGACCCGCCTATACTTCCTGCCTGGCCAATCAGCGTTTTATTAAAATACATGATTGACAGAATACAGATAATTCTCCCACACCAAACCCTTGTCACTCTGCTCTTTATAGACTGTCCCTTCTTCCTCTGTGTGTTCATCTCCCATTTTTCAAGTATTAAATATCAATTTAGCTTCAAAACTATCTTTTACCGGGCACAGGGCAGGCTGTAGAGTTTTCTCGATCGTTAAAATTGGAAGCAAACTTTCAGCTTCCGTTTTCTTGCTAGATTTCCCGCATTCCACTCCTGGGAAATCGGGGTACTTGAGTCCTATCTGCCAGTCCCACTCAGTAGAGATGCCAGTCCTCAAAGGGTGGAGAAGAAGGTTAGAGAGCATCGCTAACACAGAGCCCTTAGGGACATAAACAGGCCCTCATAAGAAGAAGGAAGGCCCCCATGAGCAGAAGGAATCTGACCTGGGGTGGCTCCTTTTGTCGCAGTGAGTCTGATCTCTTTGGGAAATAGAGGAGAGTCTCTTTCTTACAGAATGGTTTAGCATGAGGTGAGTGAGACCACTGCCTGTAAGGGACACCGTGGGCCACGTGGGTTCTGTGCTGCATGTGTGACAGCGGTCCCCATACCAATGTACACAAGATGCTCATTGCCCCGGCCATATTCCCCAGATGCCCAGGACTTTCTCACCATAAGCAGTATAGTTGTATGGTGTGGGAGAATTGTCTGTATTCTGTCAATCATATTTTAATAAAATGCTGATTGGCCAGGCAGGCAGTATAGGCAGGAAAGCCAGACAGGAAGTAGAGGTGGAGCAAAGAGACTGGGAGTATTCTGGGAAGCAGGAAGCTCCCTCCGCAGTTCTGCCCAGACTACCAGAGAGGAAAGATGTAAGCTTCCCTGCTGGAAAAGGTACTGAGCCATGTGCTAACATAGATAAGGATAATGGGGTAACATAAGTTATAAGAGCTAATAAGTAGCCTGACCTAATGGGCCAATCAGCTTTATAACTTAAAGAGATCTCTGTGTGGTTGATTTTCTCTGGGACTTGCCAGCTGCGGGGTACTGTGCAGGACAGATACCCCAACAAGCCGGCCCTCGTACTACAGTTGCACCCAAAAATCTCCACAATAAGACGATCAACAAAAGCCGATTGGTAGATGTTGGGTCCAATTCCACACTGCCTTGTTTTATTAAAACAATGAATTAAAATGACTTGCACAGCCCCACAGGGGCAAAGTGCTGGCAGGGAATGGAGAATGAGCCTTCCTACCCCTTCATTAAGTCCTCAGCCTCAGAGGGAGGGGATCTAGGGAGAGGTAAGGTTCTTTCTCCCTGCTATGGTAGGGCTCAGACATGTAGCTGCTTCAGGGAAGGTACAGAAAGCCTAGAGTAGGCAGAATTCCATTCCCTATGGATTGAACATGGCAATTAAAACCCTACAATTCTTTACATTTTTGTTGAACAATTTGTAAACAGATTCTATGGTCAAAGGGCTTTTTAGGAACGGCTGAAGTCTTAATGAGAGTAAAATTTTGTTCTTGGTCTTGGCAAATTAAAATCAAGCAGGATATGGGTTTGGGAAGATGACTCAGAGGTTAAGAGCCCCGACTA